GTTGCCGGTGGGGGCGGGGTTCTGTGGCTGGGGACAGGAGGGTGGGGGACAAGGTTCTGGGGCAGGGTGCTAGTGGGGGGCAGGGAGTCCCCTACACCAGCCTCGGAGAGAAGCCTCCACTGCGCGCTGCCCCCGGGGCTGAGCCCCGCGCGGAGGAAAGAAGCCTAGTTGCGCGCTCCCTCCCGCCAAGCAGGGAAGCCCGAGCACGCGGCCCCTCAAGGCCTGACCCCCTCCTCCCCAGGCCAGCTGCGCTGCACCCGATCCCCTGCCCGGGGCACCCCCCGCGCTCCCGCCCGGGGTTTAAACTCACCTTGCTTGATGGGGCGGCCCGGTGACATTGCTGCGTCCCTGCTTGCGCATGCACGGCATACCCGGCGGGCTCCCGTTCTCCAGAGCACCGGAGCGGGCCCTTTGACACAGTAGGGTGTGCCTGTGCACACCTAGCACACCCTGTGTGCACGCCTATGGTTATAAAATAGGTGCTGCTGCTGTGGCAGGCTGCACACAGGAATTTCTGTAAGGGAGTGCTTTTTTTGTAAATATGGACTGTGATTTTTTTAAATATAAAGGAGCCCAGCCTCACCCCCAGCGGGAAAGGGAAATCATCCCCAGCCTTCTCCCAGCTGGCGCATGAGGGAAGGTGGCATTGGCAGTGCCCTGCCCCAGCCTGTCAAAGTACGGGGGTAGAAGGCTGGGGCAACATCTTCTCCAGCCCAGCCGGAATCGCTGTCCTCAGGCTTACTCGAGGGACCAAGAACACAGAGCTGGCATTAATAGACCCTACAGAATAAAATGTGCGTTATAAAAAGAAAAAAAGTAAATCTCCCAGGTACAAAACCCATAGCAAGTGCTATAATAGAAACACAGATGGAAGTGCTAAAACCAGTCACTTACTAGTTACTTAAATGACTTTGAGCATTAGCTATTAAAATAAAAACAAATTGTGCCATGGCATGCGTTGCACAATGATAATACAGAGAAATGGTGAAGTGTTCAGAGTAATAGAAATAACATTTGTAAAGGAGCAAAAAAACTATAATTAAAATGGGTTACAAGGACAGGAGTGCAATTCAGGGAATCACAGCAGCTGATAAAACAAATTTGTGAACTGTTCTGAGACTTCATGTATCTCCCCAGTTATATATTCCCCAAATAAATATAACAGAGTTTATTGGAAACATGGCGACCTTATCAAGCTTCCAAAGAAAGGCAACCTGAAGGAATGCAAGAACTGGAGGGGCAGCACGTTACTGTCTATTCCAGGAAAAGCATTCAATAGGATTCTTTTGGAGAGACTGAAGACTGAAATTGATGGCTCAGGGAAGAACAGGCTGGCTTCTGAAGCAAGAGATCTTGTACTGACCAAATAGTAACTCTCAGGTTATGTCTACACTGGCAGCTTCTTGTGCAAGAACTGTTTTGCAGAACAAGAACTGTGTTTTGAGTCCAAGGATTCTATGAATCTATGACATGGATCCCATTATTACCTGCTTTCCTGCCATGTGCTTCTCCAACTGCCGGGGGGGCCATTTACAGCACCTACATTCCCATCCAGGCCCCGACCACTGGGCCTCCAATTACATCAATCGGAAAGGTGTTTTTCCATGGTGCTGTAGGCCCACATTAACGTCAGGTGGATGGGGAAGGCACATGACACTCATCTTTAGGGACTCCAGCCTCTTCCAGAAGATTCCCGCTGGCACTTTTTCCCCCTACTGCACTGTTTGGGGTGGGGACGTGGACATGCCTATGTGCTTTTTGGGTGACACGGCAAAACCCTACACAGGACACCTGGCCACCCACCAAGGAACAGTTCAACGCCAGACTGAGCAGGTGCTTGTTCATGGTGGAGGGCGCCTCAAAGGGAAGTTCCAGTGTCTTCTCACCTGCTTGGACCTTGGGGACTGGAACATCCCACAGGTGGTGGAAGCCTACGGTGTCCTCCACAACCTTTGTGAAAATAAACGGGAGACTTTCCTACCAGGGTTGGGGAAAGAGACTGAGGAGATTGCAAGGACTTTTGAGTAGCTGCACATCACTGCTATCCAGTAAACGAATCAGAGGACTATGCATGTCCAGGAGGCT